TATTGTATTTTGGGGGGCAATTAATTGTATGCTTATTTATTTATTAAGCATTTATTTTTTGTATTTCTTTTTAAATATGGCAGAGTTGGTCCTCCATAGCCTTGAAGTCAGCAGGCAACAATTAACTTAACTGGACCTCAAGTAAAGTAAAAAAAAAAAGCAATGCTTTTTAAAAAAAAGTATGCTATGCAAGTCATTTGCTCTAATATTTGATATGTTGGTAGGCAGGTAAAACAAAAGATTTAGGAAAATAAATTGGTGGACTGTGCGTCCAAGTATTTCAGTATATACATATGTAAATTTTTATGTATAAATACTGATATCAAGTGCTTTAAAAGCTTCTGAGCTGTTTTTTTTGTTTGTTTTTTTTTGGACCCTGAAACATTGTGTGTCTGTGCTGTGTGCTGATAAAAGTAGGTCAGAGTTAAGCTTGGGGCAGATTAAAACATCTCGCAAAGCTGCCTACCTACAACCTAACAGGAAGGCAAGGTAGTCCTGCTGACTGCGGCCAGGTGATGTGTCGGTATCCCAGGAATGCCTGACACAGGCTGCTGCCGTGTTTCAGCACAGGAGGAGACAGGAGGTGGAGAGAGGAAGGAGCGCTTGGCAGAACTTGTGGGAACTCGCCAAGGCAGGAAGGATAGTATCGGGGGTGCAGGGAGGGACCAGGGTAGGGTAAAAGACAGAAAATTATTTCGAACCACGGCAGTATGAACTTATGAAGTAGTTTGATTGGTGTTGTTGTCGTCAGTGTGGAGTAAAACATGCCCGGGAGGAGAGAGCTGTGAGGCGCTCCTACAGGTAGGAACAGCCGCTATGGTCCCACTTCATGACGCGCTTATTTTTTATATTTGATCTGGTACTTAGATAGGCTGAGGGACATATAGCTACACGAACCAAACTGTTTGAATTTGCTGTTGCTATGTAGAAAAAATACAACAAAATGTGGTATGCCTGCATGCTTCCTGTATCTTCCCAGGTTTTTCCAATAAATAGCTCACCTGTTGCGCAATTCCACTGGCAGGCTTTTATTTTGTAAATGCATTTGAAGCATTAGAGACGGCTGTTTTACAGAGCTACACTAGTGGGTTATTATAGGTGTTGCAATATGTGTTGTCATGTTAAATTTCCTAGTGGCCCCTCAGCAGCACATTTACAGGTGTGTGAGAGATGGTTGTTCTCCTGGGGCCAACTCCCCTAAAAACAGGATGTGGAGTTGTTACTCCATAAAAAACAGTAAAACTTCTATGTGGACTTTGGATATCTTCTTCTTGTTGGATTTATTGTCGGTTGGCAACAAACATTTAGTAGCATTACCGCCACTTACTGGTATAGAGTGTGGTTCGTGATGGACTATTTACTAATAAACATATATATATAATTTCGAATGAAAAAAAAGGAAAACAAAAACAATCCAAAAAAAACCTGACATACTTATGCATAACTTTGTATTCTACCCGTCTATATCATACACACATTCACCTTCACTATAATCAAATTCTATAACATAATTTAGTTTCTTTAAAAATCGAATAATTTTTTGTATATGTTTACTCCCCAAATTCTTCCTCAAAATATCTACTAAGTTATTCTTTTCCTTAATACATTCAAACTCTCTCCTCATATATCTTCCCTCACTTTTATATTTATGACATTCCAGTATAACATGTTCTATTGTTTCATATTTTCCACAGTAATCACATTTGCCAGTAGTATGCTTTTGAATTTTGAAAAGTCTATAATTAAGTCCTGTTTACCCAAATCTTAATCTTATTAT